CTCGGGAGCGCGTCGGTTTCTGCCAGCCACACGCCCCACGCACTCTGCTGCCCTGCGCGCCCCAGCGCGCCCTGCTGCGGTGCGTGGCGGCTGCGGTGCGCGCGCCTGCTCCTTCACTGCACGCGCATCTACAGCCGCGGAGCAGCCCCTACCCCGCCCCCCTTCCCCCCCCCCCCCCCCCCCCCTTCCCTTTTCTCCTCCCTCTCCCTGCTGCGCGTGCCACAGGGGGAGGGGGGGAGGGTTTGGGGATGGCGGATGTGAGTAACCAGCCGCCCCTCCTCTCTCTCTCACTGCTGAACATGCCGCTGTGGGGTGGGGGAGGGTGTGGGGGAGACGTGGGAGTGGCGGTAGGGATGCCGAGGGTGTGAAGGGGGGTTTTGGGAAAATGGGGGAGGTTGAAGGGGGGTGGCCGCCGTGAAGCCAGCAGCTCCAGTTGCCAGTGAGCCCGTTGCTCCGGTCGCCCGTGAGCCCGTTGCTCCAGCCGCTCATCTAGCCGCAGAGCCAGTTACTCCAGTTGCCCGTGTGCCAGTTGCTCCAGTTGCCCGTGTGTCAGTTGCTCCAGTTGCACGTGTGCCAACAGCTTCAGCTGCCGCCCACCACCTCCTCTCCTCTCATGGTCCCTCCTCCTCCTCACTTGCTGTCTCCTTCTTCCGCTGTGCTCTGCCTTGGGTGTACCCCTTCAGGGGGTGTTGACTGCACTGGTTATTGCTGTGAACAGGTTAGGGGGTGTGTTAACTGTAGTGTAGGTTCATACTTTGTTGGTGGTGCACCCCTAGCTCTTGCCTATGTGTACTGTTGATTCTATGATGCAACCCCTTCTCTTTTGGCCAACTCCTTCTCGCTACTCTCCTTCAACCCTAAACCTAAGTTCCTAAGCTACTCAAGCCATGGCTCCTAAGCCTAACTTACTCTAGCTTCTTGACAGGGGAGAGAACAACGAGGAGAGAGTTGATGATGTCATGGAGGTGCCACCAACCGCGGCGGCAACTACCTCCACACCTTCCTCCCCACCATTGGCATTGACCCATGAGCGTCGTGTACCTCGTCCTCACCCCAAGTACGCCGACTACGCTACGGTAGCCGTTGGGGAGTTGGATAAGGAGGGCGCGACATTTTGCTTCGCGACCAAGGTTGATGATGAACACGTGGATTCTCTCACGGAACCACTCCCTAAATATTCATCCCGTGCATGCTATGAGTATGTTGGATTGGGACCTAGTGGGTTGGGTGCAAGGGGGAGTGTTGGCGGTCACGTGTGTTGGAAGCAAGCGGTGGTGGGGCGGTTGATATGCCCCCAACCCACCGAATGTGTTTCGGTGCTCACCATTTGAGCGAGCTGCAGGTTTTGCGAAGGGCTGCAGGTTGACTTCGGAAGACCCAGTCAATTGGAGCCACATGGCAACACAAGAACAATTGAGACTGAAGAAGAATTCGGTTCGGAGAAATTCGGGTGCCGAATTTCACCCCTTCGAATTGTTACACGGATGTTCGCGATACATCTCGTAGTGAGTAGATGTTATGTTACATGTGCGACTCGATGTATTGAGTAGCTATAAATGTGTTCGCCTTGTTTGCATGCATTATACATTAGACAACAGAATCCAGAGAGCATCCTATCCTTCAACCTAGAGCATAGCTTAGGCCATGACTCTGCTCGATACTTAGTCGATTGACGCAATTGACGGCTCGTTGGAAAGCTAAGAGAGAGCTCTAGTTACTGGTGTAACTCCTAGTTCCTGCCAAGTAGAGGAGAAGCCTCTACCACCTTGTTCACCAGCTCCCGCTGAGCTGCCATGTACGAATCCGTGAGCGCCACAAAACCCTCCATCTGAAGCATGGCTGGTCACCCTAAACCCCCTTGAACCCAAAAACTCTAATCCCGTTTCTCACCTCCAAGAAGGTCTGCGCCACCTTGTTCACCAGCTCCCGCTGAGCCGTAAGTGAAACCACCTTGTCCTGCTGCTTGACTTTATTAGCCGTTGAAACCAAGGAGGATTTATTAGGAATTTATGGGAAAGACGAATGGACAAGGAGGCTTTCTGGTAATCTATGCCGTACAGCAACAAATTATACCTTGGGATGGCCAAAGTCTCTGCTAACCTGAAAATTGCGGTGGGGAGGCCTCTTTCTGCTGTCAAGTGGATCATATTGGCAAAACAAAAGGTTTAATTGATAGGTGCAAACATCAGAACCATCAGGCGGTCCCTGCACCCGTTACAGGCGCCTAATCACCAGCTGCTCTCTTATTCTTGCACCAACACAACCACAAGCAGTGGCAGTGCCAACTAGCTTTAAAAAAATATCCGCACGCTCATTCGCTTTGTAATTTCCCTACTCCTTCGCGAATTGACCACGGCGCCATCAGGAAACCGCTTAGTGTGAATATTTCCGTAATGCCCACTAGGCTTCTTAACAATATCCTTAAGAGCCTTCAGCATCGAATCCGATCAATCTTCCTTGTTTTTTCCAAGAGAGCCTTCACAGCGCCACTCCTCGTCGCCCTTCTTCTCGTAATGGCAAGGCAGGTCCAGCAGCACGTCGCCGTTCGCTCCCTTCTCCCCCTTGTGCACGTGCGTCTTGGTGGGCGGCATCTCGCCTTTCAGCCGGCTGGATTTCACCGTGTACTTGACCCACTTGGGCTTGTCGTCGTCCCTGAATGGCGATGGCACCAGGGGTAGAATCATCACAGAAAAAGGGATAATCAGCGAAAAGCCACACGAGAGAGTTTGTGAACAAAAGAAGGATTCGGTTTGCCAATGACGTTTTTCTTATTTGTGAACACGCGTGGTACCAACTTAGTAGTAAGTACCCGCGTTACTCACAACCTCATTGAGCGTGTTACTACTCACATGTAGATGCTTAGTTTCATGTAGACGATGCCGCGGCTGTCACCGACGGCGTTCTTGGCAGCTTTGGAGTCGTTCTTGGGAACCTCGTTCGCTCCTAGAAGCTTGGCTGAGAAAGTGTCTGTCCAGGTGAGGGCGAGCAGGGTGAACGAGGATAAGATTGAGCGTGAGATGTGAGGGTGAGAGTGAGGAGGTGAGGAGCTGCCGCGCTGGAAGGAAATCCGTTGGAGCTTTATCAGCACGGGTAGAACGAGGTGAAATCTAAAGGTGTAACTTGATGCTGAAGGGATATTTTGGCTTGGAAATGTGACGAATCAGACCCGGAGTTCTTGGCGATCGAGCACGATTCAGTGTGGGAAGGAAGGGAGCAAGAGGAACTGACCAACATGCTCGTGGCTGTGTGCGAGTGCGAGCATCGCCGCGAGTAAAACTGCACACAAACAAACACGCGATACGCGGATTGAGTCCAATTCTTGAGAACTTTCTGTGGCGTTTCGAAAATCTTGATGAAATAAATATCGGCAGGTGAAGCATGCGGGCGAATGGGCTACGAAACAGCTGAGAAGTTGTTGTTGGAGATTACGTGTGTTGGAAGCAAGGTGGTGGTGGGGCGTTTGTATGCCCCCAACCCACCGAATGTGTGACTTGTGCTCACCTTCGAGTGAGTTGCAGGTTTGCGTGGGGTTGAGGATTGACTTCGGAAGACCCATTCGATTCGGTGCCACATGGCAGCACCAGGAACATTCGAGACCCAAGGAGAATTCGGATCGGTGAAATTCGAGAGTCGAATTTCACCCTTTCGATGTTACTCGAACATTCGCGAGTGTAGCGGTTCGAGGTTACTTGTGCGATTCGATCTTGTTTGCATGCTATAAATCTGTTTTCTTTGTATTGCATGCCATCATAGTGAAACTCAGAGTTCTTTGTACAAGGTACATTCGAACACAAATTCCAGAGAGCTTCTTTACTTGCATTCAAGAGCACCACCTAGCACGTGAACGCCTATATCTCGGAGAATACTTAGGCGATCGACGTGTTTGACGGCTCGTTGGAAAGCTAAGACAGAGCTCTATCGTTTAGAACAACTCCCAGTTCCTGCAAAGTAGAGGAGAGTCCTCTACAATAGTTGTAAGCCAAATGCTGTCATGGACGCTTACCTAAGAGCAAGACGCGTGCAGGAATCGAGGCCATTATGCCGAAGATTGAGATTCGTGGCAGCTTTTATTAGAAGGCGGAAATAGAAGGAAGGCGGACTCGGATTCACTGCTTGCCAAGTCTAAGAGGCAAAGTGTAGGAAGGCGGGTGGCCACAAAATGAATTGCTTGTTGAGTGAAACCGCACCAATTTATATAGTTACGTTTGTAAGCCAGGAGGGATTAGAAGGGGGCGCGCCGCGGCAACCCCAAGACAGCTCCAGTAAGCTCAGGTCGGGTGACGTGACGATTACGCGTATTCGAGTCGCTGGAGCGATCTGCACTCGGCGTCTCACACGGCGCCATCTCACTCTGACCCTGATGCTTCTCATATAATTGCGTCGCTTTTTCAGGACAGTGCCTGAACTAGGCTCATATAATGCTATGCTGGGTCTGGCATGAACTGAGGTGAAGGTGAAAGCAAGAGCTTCTGGGTTCTGGCGTCAGGAATTTGGGAAGTCGGTTCGGTTCGGGCTGGGGAAAAGTGGTGCTGCCGAATGTCACGTGCCCGACGAGCAATAATCGTGACGCTGGTCGTTACGACTCACGAGAAATGCTGCACCGTTCTGGTTTTATATGGAACCGTTCTAAAGCAGAAAGCATCTCGTGTTATCCCAGCGCAGTCTTATCAACCGTGCTGATAATTGAGACAGGATATCTCAAGATTGGTCCAATAATGGTGAGAGGACCACAGACAGAGTGGCGCTCACTGCGCTCCGTGGTCTCAAATAGAGACATTTAGAAAGATCCGATAACCCGATACATAAATCAAAACATGGCATACTGAATGCATAAATTGAGATATGTTACATAGAATCAGAACAACCAACAATTCCACAAATTACTTACTAGAATGTGAATCCCAAGCAGAGTGCTCACTAGTGCAGCAACCCAACACTTTCCACTTGCCACATCACAAGTGTGAGCTTCTCCCTTGTCCCAAGTACTAAGAGGCCTGTCTTCAAGCAGCTCTCGATGATAGAAGCTGGCTTCTAAGCCACTCATTTCCCTCCGCATCCCCCTCCAACGCCTTCACCTGCGCTGCTACAGCCCTCAATGCCTCCTCTGCTGTCATTTTGTCGAGAGGCAGCGATGCAAACTCCCGAAGGAATTGCCGTGCTTGCCCCACTCCCTCCCTCTGCTCCTCCCCTCCATCCCGCTTACGTTTTTCTCCACCACCACCACCACCAGCAGCACCAGCATCTGCACCAGCAGCAGCAGCAGCAGCAGCAGCAGCACCAGCAGCAGCGGCATGAGCAGCAGGAGGGGCAAAGTCTTCGAGCTCCTGTGCCTTGGCGCGTGCCATGGCCACCAACTCGGGAGGGAAATGTGCAAACTCTGCCACGTGGATCCCAAAGCTCTGATCACATGGGCCTGGTTGCACCTGGGAGGGGAGGGGGGAGTGGACAGAAAGAAAAAGGAACAAGAGCATCAGCATCAGCACAAGCACCAGAACCCGCAGTAGCAGCAGCAGCACCAGCAGCAGCCGCAGCACCAGCATCGGCACCAGCACCAGCAGCGCCATGAGCAGCAGGAAGGCTGTGCCTTGGCGAGTGCCATGGCGACCACCTCGGGAGGGAAGTGCGCAAACTCGGCCACGTGTATGCCAAATCTCTGATCACACGGACCCGGTTGCATCTGGGGGAGGCGAGAACAAAGGAGGAGGGAAGAAACAGCAGGACATAAACATAGTGAATGAATTCAGAAAATTGGAAGAGGGAAGTTGTGTAGGAATGGCATGAGGGCAGACTCTGCCATAAGGATGCCAAGGCTCTCTGGTCACACGGGTTCGGCCGCACCAGGAGGAGGGCAGAGGTTTGTGTGAGGAAGAAAAGTATGAGGGGTTCAGTTTCTGCGTCAGATGGCGAAATGTACGTGATCATATTCTTGATAATATTAGGAAAAATAGTCATAAAAAAGGAAAAACAAAATCATTTTATGATATGAAGGACTAGCAGATAGAAAGGAAACTCAGAAGAAAGGACAACGAAAAAGGTTGAGCAGTGTTGGAAGGAAGGAACCCAGCTCATTACCTTGTAAAGCATAGTGAGCTTCCTGGAAGCTTCGTCGATGTGTGCGCTGACGTGGAAGTTGGCAACACAATTGGAATCATCTCGGGTCTCGAGAGCCGTGAGCTCGTGAAAGTGCGTGGCGAAGAGGGTGGGCGCTTTCGTTACGTCCACTAGGTGTTCACAGATGGCCCAGGCGAGACCTGGTGGAAGGGGGATATACGAAGGAGAAGGAGGGGTGAGTGAGAGCGAGGCAGGCAGTAGTGAGCTCGTGAAAGTGCGTGGCAAAGAGGGTGGGTGCTCTGGTCAAGCCCACTAGATGCTCGCAGATAGCCCAGACAAGAGCTGGTGGCGGGATGGGAGTTGAAAAAACAGGGTCTGGAGAGCGTGAGCTCGTGAAAGTGCGTGGCGACGAGAGTACGCACTCTTGTAACGTCACTAGGTGCTCACGGATAGCCCAGGCAAGTGTTTTTTGATAATTCTCAAAAAACACTCGGATAGCCAAGGCAAGACCTGGCGAGGGGATGGGAGGGGAATTGGTGGGGGAAAACAGAGAGAATAAGAAAGAGCAGGGCCTCTGGAGTTGTGAGCTTGTGAAAGTGTGTGGCAAAGAGGGTGAACGTCTGTCCTCCAAGCCTCGTTCGGTCCATCCTTCTGGACTTGTACACGGAGTGTTCGCTCTCGCACGCCCCAAAGCCACTACTTCTCGCACGCCGCGCACTCACCGAAGCCGTCGTAAGTGGACGTTCCTCGGCCCAGCTCGTCAATTATCACCAGCGAGTGCGGCGTGGCGGCATGCAGGATGGCGGCTGTCTCGAGCATCTCCGCCATGAACGTGCTCACTCCCCTCAGCTGAGACAAAGCAGAGAGAGAACACAAGGGGCGGAGGGAGTGCGGTTGGCTCAACAACAGCATGCTACCGTCATTCCAACTCCTCTTTTCCACCGACCACTTCCATTCCTCACCAGGCAAAAATCGCACCTCTGATGCTCACATCTGCCCCACCTGCTCGTCCCTAACATCTCCTGCCAGTCATCCCCTCCCCCTTCTCACCTTCCCTCCCTCTTCCATCCTTTACCCCTTCACCTGGCAATTGCCAGCGCCCACGCGGGCAAAGATAGCATCTGCAATATTCACGTGTGTCCCCTTCTCCCACTCATCCTCTCCCCATCACCTGCCAGTCAACCCTCCTCCCCCCTCACCTAGCAATCCCCAGCGCCCACACGGGCAAAGATGGCGTCTCGAATGCTCACGTGTGCCCTTTCCACTCGTCCTCCTCCCCAACCCGCATCTCCTGCCATTCGCCCATTCACCCACCATTTCCTCCTCACCGCCCTCAAGTGTTTTTTGAGAATTCTAAAAAAACACTCACCGCCCTCATCCTCCCCCCATTGAACCTGCCCTCCATTGCATCTCCCCTCCATTGCATCTCCCCTCCATTGCATCTCCCCTCCATTGCATCTCCCCTCCATTGCATCTACCCTCCATTGCATCTCCCCTCCATTGCATCTCCCCTCCATTGCATCTCCCCTCCATTGCATCTCCCCTCCATTGCATCTCCCCTCCATTGCATCTCCCCCCCTCACCTGGCAATCCCCAGCGCCCACGCGGGCAGAGATGGCGTCTTGGATGCTCACGTGTGCGCCCCTCTCCCACTCGTCCTCTCCACATTACCTGCCAGTCAACCCCACTCCCCACTCCCCCTCCTCACCTGGCAATCCCCAGCGCCCACGCGGGCGAAGATGGCGTCTCGAATGCTCACGTGTGAGTACTAACCAGACAACCCTTTCCACCCCTTCCCACTCCTTCCACCTCTTCTCGCCCATACTTCCCTCTACTTCCCCCCCTCCACTCCTCACCTGGCAATCGCCAGCGCCCACGCGGGCAAAGATGGCATCTCGAATGCTCATGTGTGCGCCCCTCTCCCACTCGTCCTCTCCCCTTCACCTGCCAGTCAACCCCACTCCCCACTCCCCCCCCCTCACCTGGCAATCGCCAGCGCCCACGCGGGCAAAGATGGCATCTCGGATGCTCACGTGTGCACGGGAGCACGGCACGAACGAGCCCACCTGCGCCATCAGCACCACCACTCCCACCTGCGGCACACATGCAGGCGAATGGGCACGCGTGAAGAAGAGGGGGAGGAGGAGGACATGTTTTGGACATAGAGGGAGATTGGTCCCTTGAAAATCACCACTCTCGTCTGTGGTGAAGCGGGCCAAGGAGGTGCTTGGATGCAATCGAAGGTAAACAATACCACTACCACTACCACTACCACTACCACTACCACTACCACTACCACTACCACTACCACTATTGAAGGCTCGCATGCTAGCTACCACTGCCAGCATTTCCTGGAGGGGACTATAAATTTCATCCGTTCTGTATGCTCGGTTTCATTTCCTAATCGCCGCAGATTTAAGTTCGCGCACCTAGTCACACGCAGCTTTTCTCGAAAGGCAACGCACCTAACCCATGGAATTTGTCTCGTTGTCCTAAGATCAACAAGAGTTGATGGAAGTAAGGCCTCCGCAGCCCACCTATCCGCTACTGACAGCTCCCGCACCAAGTCACGCGCAGCTCTTCTCGACAAGCAACGCACCTGGCGAATGAACGTTGACTTGCCGCCCATGTTGGGCCCCGTGATTATTTGAAACCAGCTGTGACCTCTCTCCTGGTGTGGAGGGGTGGTGGGTGGGTGATGGGTGCATGGGTGGTGGGTGAGTGAGTGATTGGGTGAGTGAGTGAGTGAGTGAGTGAATGAGTGAGTGAGTGAGTGAGTGGGTGAGTGACTGAGTGAGTGGGAGGGTGGAATGCCCTTGGGGCTGGTCACTGGTCGTAAAGATGCAATGCCATACGAAGGGGTGCTGTGGAGTGACGTGGGGTGCAATGCTGATGGGTGCAGATGGGTGCAGATGGGTGCAGATGGGTGCAGACGGGTGCACATAGGAGCAAACCCGAGCACATGGCAGCAGGATGGGAGCAGATAGCAGAAGACGGTGGAACCCCACTCACGGGGAATGGGGGAAGGGAACGCACCATCCCTGTGTTGTGAAATTGTTGGGGATGAAGCTAAAACGTCATGCTGCACCTCCATTCATGGGTGGGATGATCACCATGATAGCAGCTAAGAATCACTTCTGATTCTTTGAGACTCAAGGAAAATCTCTTTTGAGACTGATGAAATCTCTCAAAAGCGCCAGAGAAGAAAATCATGTGAAGGGACCTACTTTTGAGACGTCTCAAAGGTAGAATCACTTTTGAAACGTCTCAGAATTCTCAAAGGCGCCAGAGAAGAGAATCACGTGAAGGGACACGCACCAGGCGGCAGTGGTTGGGAATGAAGCTGACGTCATCCTGCACCTCCACACATGGGTGCCGGCTGTCCTCCAACACTAGGCCGCCCTCCTCCTGCATGCCATGCCGTGCCATGTCATGTGTGCCACGGATGTCATGCAATGTATGCCATGCCATGCCATCATCCCATGACATCATCCCATGCCATCCCATGCCATGCCATGTGATGCGCCAAGAGATAGGAACAACGAGGAAGAGGAAGGATGAGGGGAGAGGATGGAAAAAGTGGAAAAATAGCGGCAGGGCAAATATGGAAGGCAATAAGGCACGGGAGCAACAGGTCATTTTTTTAGTCGACTAAAAAAAAAATATGGAAGGGAAAAGGGCATGGGAGCAACAGGTCACTGGCCCACGCCGCAACTTGCAAGCTTGCAAGGCACACATTTAGCGCTCCAAGGAACGCGTAAAAAAAAAAAAAAAAAAACAAACAAACAAAAAAAAAAAAAAACAAAAAAAAAACAAAACAAAAAAAAAAAAAACAAAAAAAAACAAACAAAAAAACGATAAAAATCATCTCACCAGCCCGAGATGGAGGGTTGGACGTAGGGAGTGGGTGCCGAAGCTGCGAGCTCAGCAAAGCCTTGAAGCACGTCCATTTTGGCTATGAGCGCTGCCACGCCCTCGAACACCTGTTGGCATGTAGGGTGGGGATGAAGGCAACGCGCATAGGTTGGGGGTTGAGTGATGTGCATGATGTGTGTGCAAAGCCAAAGCCCTGAAGCACGTCCATTTCGGCAATCAGTGCTGCCACGCCCTCAAAAACCTGTTGGCACGCCAAGTCATTCGCAAATCACACGATGTGTGCATTGGAAATCCATTTGTCATTCACCATCCAAACCACATGCCCTGAAGCACGTCCGTCTTGGCGATTGGTGCTGCCACGCCCTCAAACACCTGTGCCATGCAGGGGAATGAAGGCAATGCGGTTGATGTGTGTTGGGTGTTGAGAAGACTCCAAAGCCAAAGCCAACATCCAACAAGCCAACATGCGCTTCAAGCCAAATCCTGAAGTGCGCCCATCTCGCATGAGCGATGCCACGGCATCAAACACCTGTTGCCATGACCGGCAATGCGCATGTATGATGAGTGCGTCCAGATAGCTGTTATGCAAAGTTGTGCAAAGATGATGAGGCGCACATGGGACGGACATGTTGTGCACAGTTCAGACTTGAAAATTCTGAGAAACGATACCCCCAAACCCATCTCTCACCTCCAAGAACGTCTGTGCCACTTCCACCACCTTGTTCACCAGCTCCCGCTGAGCCGCCATGGACGAATCCGTGAGCGCCACAAAACCCTCCATCTGAAGCATCGCTGGTCACCCTAAACCCCCTAAACCTTGAACCCAATATCTCTTATCCCGTTTTTCACCTCCAAGAAGGTCTGCGCCACTTCCACCCCCTTGTTCACCAGCTCCCGCTGAGCCGTAACTGAAACCACCTTGTCCTGCTGCTTTATTTTATTAGCCGTTGAAACCAATGTTTTAGGAATTTATGGGAAAGACGAATGGACACGGAGGCTTTCTGGTAATCTATGCCGTACAGCAACAAATTATACCTTAGGATTGACGCGTGAATCGGCGTGATGGACAAAGTCTCTGCTGCTGACCTTCTCTGCTGACCTGAAAATAACTGGTAGGGAGGCCTCGTTCTGCTGTCATTTCATTAGTGAATCATATTGGCTAAACAACAGGTTTTATTGATAGGTGCAAACATCAAAACCATCAGGCGGTCCCTGCACCCGTTACAGGCGCCTAATCACCCACCTGCACTCTTATTCTTGCACCAACACCACCACAAGCAATGGCAGTGCTAAGGAACTTTTCAAGAAAATATGCACGCTCATTCGCTTCCCTACTCCTTTGCAAACTGACCACGCACGGCGCCATCGGGAAACCGCTTAGTGTGGATATTACCGTAATGTCCGCTAGGCTTCTTAACAATATCCTTAAGAGCCTTCAGCAGTGAATCCGATCGACCTTCCTTGTTTTTCCCAAGAGAGCCTTCACAGCGCCACTCCATGTCGCCCTTCTTCTCGTAATGGCAAGGCAGGTCCAGCAGCACGTCGCCGTTCTTCCCCTTCTCCCCCGTGTGCACGTGCGTCTTGGTGGGCGGCATCTCACCCTTCAGCCAGCTGGTTTTCACCGTGTACTTCACCCACTTAGGCTTGTCGTCGTCCCTGAATGGCGATGACGCCAGGGGTAGAATTATCATAAAATCACGCACGAAGGTAAAGGGATAATCAGTGAAATGCCACGAGAGAATATGTGAACAAAGAAATAAAAATTGTGAACACGAGATTTGGTTTGCCGATTATGTGTTCCTCACTTGCGAACACGCCGCGTGGTACCAACTATAATCGGAAGTACTACCACGCGCGTTACCAACAATGCTCACATGTAAGCTATGAGTCGACTCATAAGTCACCTTCATCATTGCGCGTGCTACTCACATGTAGATGCTCAGTTTCGTGTACACGATGCCGCGGCTGTCACCGACGGCGTTCTTAGCGGCTTTAGAGTCGTTCTTGGGAACCTCGTTCGCTCCCAACAGCTTTGCTGAGAACGTATCTGATGAGGTGAGAGTGAATGAAGGAATATATTAGAGAGAGCGTAGCGATAGCGCGAGAGTTTCTGCTATGAACGATGTTGCGCCAGCAACTCGGTAGAGTTTCGGTTGTGCTCGTGTTCAAACGACTATGTGAGAATCCAAGTAGCAATTGTAATAGCACTATGAAGTTCATACAAGCAAACACACAAGATTGATATAGGCTACGGGAAGGTTTCACAAAGTTGGCGTGGCGCTGCGGAGTAACCCAACCCCACGAAAGTGGTGTGTGGGTGAGCGAACGCGCCTCGCCAATTTCCCAACCCAACTCAGCAGGGAAGTCAATGCCAAGCACGCCGTTTCTCCCAGCACAGCTAGAAATGGCGAGACTCACAGAGAACCACCCATAACTCCCAAGACAACCACGCATTTCCCAAGAAACATACCCACGACTTCCCTAAGCTAGCACCACCCCAGCAATGACTTCATTAGAGTTGCCGTAGTCGCTCGTCGTCAACACGCAACCATCGTAGTCATAGGGTCGGTGCTGGGTAGCTCGTAGTCTTGGTCGTAAACCTGCCAAGTCAAGCATATCGTGAGGGCCCTTGCTGTCGTAGGGCCCTCTAACACTCCCCTGCCATACTACAGCAAGGCCCTTTATAATCACAGGGCATGTATACACACATACACACCATAACAAAGGGACACACACACAAACGAAGCACTCTCAAAGTGCAAACACGCACCGCACCAGCCATGGATAGGCCATGGCACCATCACCATCATGGAGTGTCTAGGTCTCACTCCCCTCGCTCGAGAGCCTCACCTGCCCCACAGCCTCGAAGCAACGGCTGAAGGCGGGGAAATGCAACGCCTTTGTAAGGTAGTCAGCAGGCTGCTCGCTCGAGGGATGTATTGCAGCTGCAGCTTCCTACGCTTGACCATGTGCTGCAGCCACATGTGGCGACGCTCCATGTGCTTGAGGCTCCCCTTGAGCCCCATGCCACCTGCCACTGAAATGGCGGAGGAGTTATCCACAAAGAGAGTCGTGGGCTCCTCACTCCTCAGCAGTTGAAATTCTGCCAGCAGGAAGCGCAGCCTGCGCGCCTCCTTCCCAGCCTCCACATCAGCAACATACTCAGACTCAGTGGAGGAGAGGGTGGCGCAACGAATCCTCTGGCTCGCCCAAGAGACAGCGGCACCTCCGAGCACAAAGACATAGCCACCAGTGCTGGTCCTGTTCTGCTTGTCCCCTGCATCATCAGCATCGGCGTAGCACACCAGGTCCAAGGACTCCGGCCCACCACCAAACTCCAGCGCCACATCCCTGCTCCCCACCAAGTACGCCAAGCACCGGTCCAACTCCTTCCAGTGCTGATCACTCCGCACAGTCTGGCCCGACCCCAGCTTGCTGTAGGCGAACGAGATGTCGGGACGGGTGGTACAGGCCGCGAACTGCAAGGATCCCACCTTCTGCCTGTACTCCTCCTCCTGGCGAGACTGCCATCCCACATCCTCGAAGGTCTGCACACTGAAAGGGTCAGAGGAAAGAGGGGTGCGAGGCACTCGCAGCGGCTGCTCCCCGTCGAAGAAGCGCCTATGGACCTTGTCCACATAGGCTCCCTGGTGCAGCCACAGCCTCCTCGTAGGCCTGTCCCGGATCAGCTGCAACCCCAAATACTTCTCCACAGGGCTAATCTCCCGCAGTTGAAACGCACTCTGGAGCAGGTCACGCAGCTCCCCCAGCATGCTCTGACTGCGGCTGGCAGCAAGCAAATCATCCACATACACCAGCAGCCAGCACATCTCCCCCTCAGCATCACTCTTGAAGTAGAGAGCCTCATCCACTTGGCTCTTCTTCCATCCAGCCCCAAGCAGCACCCCATCCAAGGCCTCATACCATAGCATTGGGCTCTGCTTGAGCCCATACAGACTCTTCACCAACTTACAGACACGAGGAGTCCCATCCTCGTAGTAGCTCGGCTGCTCCATGTAAAGGTCTCGGTCCAGCACGCCATGGAGGAACGCGTTCTTCACATCCAGCTGCATCAGGTCCAAATCAAGTGCAGCCGCAATCGCCAGAAGCACACGCGCCGTCACATAGCTTCCCACAGGGGCGTACGTCTCCTCATAGTCCACCCCTGCCACCTGTGTGAACCCCTTCACCACCAGCCTCGCCTTCTCACGCTCCACTATCCCATCCGGTCGGAACTTGGTGTTCAAAATCCAGCGGTTCTTCATCACATTCACCCCTGGCGGACGCGGAACCATCTCCCACGCCCCCTGCTCAATCAAGCTCCGCATCTCCTCATCCATCACCTCCTTCACCTTGTCTCCCTTCCAGCAGCCCAAGGCCTCCTTCACTGTCATTTTCGCTATGTCCCACTGCCTCTCAGGGTCGGCTGCCACGTCCGGGTCCAGGTCAGTCCACTCCTCGTCCTCCTCCTCGTCATCCAAATCCGCCGGCTCAATCACTACTGCCCAAGCGTATCGAACAGGCGGGACACCACGAGTGATGCGAGTGGAGCGACGCAGCGGTGCAGTGGTCGTCCCAGAAATCAACACACGACCACCATCTCTAATTCCCCACATCTCCTGCTCCCCTGTCTGCGGCTCCCCTGTCTGCTGCTCCCCAATCTGCTCCTCCCCTATCTGCTGCTCCCCAATCTGCTGCTCCCCTGTCTGCTGTTCCCCTGTCTCCTGCCCCCCACTCTGCTGCACTCCATCCATGCTGCTCTCGTCCTGCAGCTGCTCAGTCACAAGGCGCTGCCCGTCGGTGATCATCACAGACGGCGACACCATTGTCCCCCCCTCACCGACGGGCGGCGCCGTGGACGACGAAGAGGAGGGTGGGGCAGGTGCAGGAGGGATGGAGGGTGGAAGAGGAGAGGGAATAACAGGAGGAGGAGGGGTAGCCAAGGGGGGTGAGGATGCGGTAGGAGGAACCACACGAGGGTAAACAGTAGGAGGAGGTGGGGTGGGGACTGAGGTAGGGACATAGGGCATAGCAGGAGGTGCGACCACTTCTGTTGGTGCAACCCTACGGTTTGCACTCGGCTTGTTGTCCGTATGCGTGAATGTGTGTGTGTATGGAATGGTATGAGGGCATGGGATAATATATATTTCATGCTTATAATTGTGTGTGAATGTTGAGTCATGATGTCGAGTGTGTGTGTCGAGTCAATAGCGAGTTATCGCTAGACGCGTGTTACGCGGTCGTTTGTGTCTCGCGCGCGATTTCTATTTTGTCGTGCGCGGTTTCTATTTTGTCCTGTGTCGAACGTTCGGCGTGTCGCAGGTGTGTGCAGCAGACCCATCAAGAACTCAAGGATGAGTTTGTGATGAAGAGCCCGAGCCTTGGTGTCAAGCCTCAAGTGATTTCGAAGCTTGCCAAAAGGGTACACCTCAAGATATTGAAGATAGTTACATTACTTTGTGTAGTGTAACATTTCACTTGGTGTAGGCCCTAGTGAAGGGTAGTTTCGAGACCCTTCGTGATTGGGGACAGTGTGGCACTGTTCCACATCACTGTACCTCGGCTCTTGGGGTTTGTAGGAGCTGGGAGTCATTCCCAACTCGTAACTCTTCCTATCTTGTGTTCTAAGACTATAGTGGCTGCCATAGTACCGTTCGTTCAAATCGACGCTGTGTCGTCAATTCTTGATCAAATTGTGCAATCTAAATTGCTAATTGTAGACGACGTGAAGACGCTCCAGATCCAATTTGAATCAAGTCATTTGCAGCTGTGAGCAGAACGCTATCAACGTTTGAAGCCGCTGTGCAGAAATCCGTCTGTGCTCTCTATCTTTCGTTTTAGGCACATTCAAGCCTATTGTGACTATAACAAGTGGTATCAGAGCCCCTTGGAGCAGTTTCGACAATGTCTGGACCTGAGGAAAGGGGTGGCAGAGGTGCTGGTGGCAGTGGAGAAGCTCAAGCTCAAGGCCAACCCCGTGATTCAGCCATGGCGCCCATGCAACCAAGTCTTGGCCCACCTAGGGATGAGCCTAGGGTGTTTGGGCTTGACAAGTTCAACGGTGACAACTTTGCTGAATGGTCCTTCAAGATGGAGAACATCTTTGACCACTATGACCTGCTGGAGGTGATGGAAGGAACGGAGAAGCGCCCCGAGAACGACCCGGAGAAGAGCCCGTGGGTGCGGAAGAGCGCACAAGGCTATCTCTTACTTGGGCAAGCGTTGGGGAGCAGTCAGATCCGTCACATCAAGCCATTCCAGCGTGAACCAGAGAAAGGACCAAAGGCATGGGCTGCTCTCAAGGGTGTACATGCTCCTGCAACAGCGGCGGTAGCGGTGGTGTTGGAACGGCAAATGGCGGCACTTCGAATTGAAGAAGACGAAGCGGTTGAAGAAGGGGTGCAGAAATTCTTCGACTTGTTGACGCGGCTTGAGGGAGCTGATTTGAACTACAGTGAGCTCCAAAAGAAGACCAAGTTGCTGGCCTTACTCCCAGAGTCATGGTCCTCGCTCATCATCAACTTTAATCGCGACTTGCCCCGCCTCTCGCTTGAAGACGTGAAGCGAGCTATCCTTCAAGAGGATTTCCGCCGCCGTGAGTTGGCGAGTGCGGATGGCGCTGGGGCAGCGAGCATCGGCCGTGGATATGGTCGAGGAAGAGGCAGAGGACGAGGGGGAGGAAGGTTTGGTGGCAGCAACTTCGGCGGAGGCCGCAGGAGTGGCGGTTACGGCAGCGACGACAAGAGCTACGGACGCGGTCGCGGCCGATTCGACGGCGAGTGTCACTATTGCCACAAGAGCGGACACATGTGGCGCGACTGCTACAAACTCCCTGATGGTTGGACCCCTGCTCAAGGCCAAGAGGGTAGAGGAGCAGGAGGAGGGAGAGGACGAGGCCATGGAGGCCGTGGCGGTCGCGGTGGCGGAGCTGCAAACATGAAGAGCGGAGACAACGACAAGGACCCGAGCGACGATCGATACCCGGGTCTATTCTACTTCGTGTCGACGCAAGTACCGGCTGGTCCAGAGAAGGATGAAGGCTTTGAGGAGCCAGCAGCTGTGGGGAAGGTGACCCTACACCCCCTGGACTATTGGGTGATTGATAGTGGCGCTACCTATAGCATGACACCTCGCCCGGACTTGCTCACCGAACTCGAGCCGTCGCCGGTGAAGCATGTCACATCGGCTTTGGGGCAGCGAGCAGAGGTGAAAGGCATGGGCAAGGCCATGTTCAAGGGTGCTGATGGGAAGATGGTGGGCCTCAAGAACGTGCTTTGGGTGCCCAGCCTTGCTGCAAACCTGATTTCCGTGCGGCGGTTGGCAAAGGCCGGCATGGACACGAACTCGAAGGGAGCCAAGACCTACACCGCAAGGCTTGGCGATCGAATTCTTTGGGACCTTCATGAGGACAGGGATGTCTACAACGAGATGTGGCAGATCCCAGTGGTCCCTATGCCTAAGGAGAGGCAAGTGGCAGCAAGCATCAGCACCAAGGATGGAGCGGTCGGTAGCGACGATGGCGCGAACGGTCGCGCTAAGGAGAATGAGCTCAAGAAGAGCAAACCTGGAGGGACCAGCAAGTTTAGTGAACCTAAGGAGAGTGGTGCAGCAACCAAGGAGCAGCAAAAGGGTGAGGAGAACCCAGAGGCAGCAGCGGAGGAGGACTACGGAGAGAGTATGTGGGGCGCTATTGCGAGCGCGGCATTCTCCAATCCAACTTCGGCTACGGGGGAGTGTGATTGGCTCACCTTGCATCGGCGCATGGGGCATGTGGCCCTGCCCATCTTGCAGCAGCTAGTGAAGAATGAGATGGTTGCTGGCATACGTGTGAAGGGGGAGCCGGATGAGGTGCTTGGCTGCCCGACGTGCATTCAAGCCAAGTTCACCCGGTTTCCGTTCCCTAGTTCGGAGGCAACGGCAAAGGCACCGCTTGATGAGGTGGTGATGGACGTGGTGGGCCCCCTGAAGCTTGGAGCTGCTGGAGCTGAGTATTTTCTCACCATTGTCGACGTCTACACCCGCATGACTTGGGTGTACGTGCTGGCCAAGAACAGCGACGTGGCTGAAACGTTGAAGACGGATTGGTTCCCGATGGTGGAGCGGCAACAAGACCGTCTAGTCAAGTCAATCCGCACCGATCGAGAGGGAGAGTTCCTGAGCAAGGAGTTTGGGTTGTGGCTGAAGAAGAATGGTATTCGGCACTCCCTCACCATGCCATACTCCCCTGCAATGAACGGCATCGCCGAGCGAGCGAACCGCACAATCACGGAGGCGGCACGCGGGTTGCTCATTGAAGCCGGGCTACCCGACTATTTCTGGCCTGATGCGGTGCGGAGCGCGTGTGTGGCCAAGAACAGAGCCTTGACTCATGTGGGAGCAGACAAATGGGTGCCCTATGTGGAGTGGCTAGGAAGGAAGCCAAAGGTGGATATGCTTCGGGTGTTCGGGTGCATGTGCATGGCGCTCGTGCCTAAGCATCTTCGGCACAACAAGCTTGGTGCCAAGGCGGTGTGGGCCGTGCACTTGGGCATGGCTCAAAACAGCAAGGGATGGCTTCTTTGGGACCCATTCACCAAGAATTTCTTGGTGAGCAGGGACTGCAAGTTCATGGAGAACTTCATGTACAAGGATTGGAAGGCGGAGAATGAGGCGAAGATAGGTGTGCGGTTTGGGGAGGTGAAGAGTTCCGGTTTGGAGCATGTGGAGCTGCCTTTGGAGCTGAGCAGCGGCAGCACAACCACAAGGCAATCCTCCCCTGTGAATGGGGGAGAGGAGGCCAATGATGCAGAGGAAGAAGAGGAGGAGGTGCAGCAAGTGAGCGAGCGTGCACCGTCACTCCCTTCCCGTACTACGAGTGCTCCACGGATTCGAGCCACACCGCAGCAACGCCAAGGCCTTCAAGTCCCTGCAGCTGAGGAGGAAGGAAGGGGGAATAGGAGAGTTCAACCCCCTAATAGGCTGACCTATGATGCGCCGGGAAAGCAGGGCAAGACAGCCCTGGCCGGAGCGGCAATGATGGTCGGAGACGACGAGGAGAGTGACTACGAGGAGTGTGCCTTCGCGTTCTTCTCTCCGGTGGAGATGCCGGGAGAACCAGCAACTCTCAAGGAGGCTTTGGAGAGTAGTGATGCTGAGGAGTGGAAGAAGGCCATGGAGAGTGAGCTGAAGAGCATCGAGGAGAATGGCACGTTTGAATTGGTGGAGCTACCGGAGGGGCGTACGGCGATAACGTCCAAGTGGCTCTTCAAAATCAAGTCGGATGCCGACGGCAAGATCGAGCGCTACAAGTCTAGGCTTGTAGCCAAGGGGTACCAGCAGAAGGAGAAGGTGGACTTCAAGGAGATGTTTGCCCCTGTGGTGAAGCCGACGACGCTGCGAACCCTATTCGCGGGAGCCGCCATCAAAGGATGGGTAGTAAAGCAAATGGACATCGTAACGGCATTCCTTAACGGCATCCTTGAGGAGGAGATTTTTATGGCGCAGCCAGAGGGGTTTGATGATGGTAGTGGCAGAGTGTGGAAGCTGAATAAGGCCCTCTATGGGCTGAAGCAGGCCCCTAGGCAATGGTACATGAAGCTGCGCGAAGTGTTGGAGGGGATCGGCTTCACTCCCTCAACGGCCGATCACTCCTTGTTCATGCTTGGCGAGGGGGAGCAGAGGAGTTTCATGGTGGTTTATGTGGATGACATCCACATTTTCTCACCCTCTTCTGACCTTGTGAAGGAGGTGATGCTGAAGCTTCAAGACAAGTTCAAGTGCAAGGCCCTTGGTGACGTGAGCTTCTACCTTGGGCTCCACATCGAACGAGATGTGGAGAAGCGGTGCATGCGGGTGCATCAACGAAAGTACCTGGAGGCATTGGCTGCCAACTTTGGGCAGAGTGAAGGCCATGTGGCTACACCCTTTCCCTCTGGGTTCAAGTGTGTGAAGGGACCAGAGGAGGAGAGCGTTGGTGAAGAGGAGAGGCGCCGATTTCACTCGTTGGTGGGCAGCCTCATGTATGCGGCGGTAAACACCCGACCGGACGTCG